TTTGAAATTTGATGTCGATGAGATTTTATTAAAATAATTAACCCATGAATTAATATGTTATTGACAGGGAACTCCCGTTACAGAAAGGCGATGTTGTTTACATTTATAAGGAGGTGGATCAGAATTGGTACGAAGGCGAACACCATGGACGAGTGGGTATCTTCCCACAATGTTACATAGAGGTACTGTTCTGTTTATTAAGCTACCCAAGGTGTCAGGACTGGCTGGGCTGACACAAGATCAAAACTGTCGTATCTTCTTCAGATTTTTACATATGCCTTTTGCTTTTGTTTTATAGTTATTTAACCCAACAGAAAAAATCCAAACTAAAAAGACTTCACCACTGCAAATCTTGGAATACGGAAATGCAGTTGCCAAATTCAGTTTCACTGGAGATACCGCTGTGGAAATGTCCTTCAGGAAGGTAGAGAGAGACCAGTCATTGTAAACCATTTTGAAATATTCCTTTCTCATGCAATCTACTGACATCAGTTCAGTTGCAAAGGACAGCAAATGGATGTTCTAAGCAGCGGATTGGAAATTTAAAATGTTAAAAAATATATTTTGCGCGGGGTTTTCTAAAAATGGAAGGTTTGGGGTTAGTTATCACCTAACATGAACTTTGGCCAGTGCAACAGGCGTATTTGTTTACATTTTTATAGGGTTAGTTTTGCATCTAAGTGTCCAAAAATATGCAATTAGGGTTGATGCTAGAGATAGGCAAGAAATTAAAGATATATATTTATTATATATGTAATAATTAGTCTTGAATTATTTTGCCAAAATAGAAAATATATGCATGTCTATCTGTCTTTTTTTATTTTCTATCTTTGTGAACTATACATTGTACTGGAATCTCCGAATAGTTTAGTTTTGAATCAAAAAGCTAAGCCATTTTCTTAGGCATTGTAAATGCAAGCCAGATAATTTAAAAGAGTTTAATAGAAAGGAGACATCAAATCCATTTTAGGACATCAAGTCCTTCAAGCAAACAGCATCCACGAAATACAGCCTTTATATGTAAGTAGCATAAGCAAGTTCTGAACTTAAACCCATGTTTCTTTCTTTCTTTTTTTCCTACAGGGAGAAAGAATCACACTGATTCGACAGGTAGATGAGAACTGGTATGAAGGGAAAATCCTTGGCACCGTTCGCCAAGGCATCTTCCCTGGCTCTTATGTGGACGTAGTTAAGCACCCAGTGCTGAAAGATACATCAGCCTATGCCTACCGACCGCCAAATTGCAGCCTGACTTCTCCACAGGTACCTGTTTGTGCTTTGCAGAACATTGATAGCGTTGTTAGTCTATTTCCTAGGGCAGTGGTGACGAACCTATAGCACGTGTGCCAGAGGTGGCACGCAGAGCCCTCTCTGTGGGCACGCATGCTGTCGCCCCAGCCCCAACTCTCCCTATGGCCCTCTCCTCACCAGCAGCCCCCCCCAGAGGAGAGTCGCCCCCGGGCACGGCCCGCACGGAGCAGCACAGCCAAGGACATGGCAGTTGGGCAGCAGGGACAACACTAAGCCCTCGCGCCCCATCGCACAGCTGATGCTGCATGGCACGGGCCGAGGGCGTGGCCGCCATGGTGCTGCAGGGCCGCCTGGGCAATCTGCTGCGGTGGGCCGTGGATGTGGTAGGTGGCCCTGCGGGCAGGCGGGGTGGGGGTGGGGCAGGGGTGGTGTGGGCGGTTTTTGGGCACTCAGTGTCTAAAAGGTTCGCCATCACTATCCTAGGGCAGGATGCCCATCATTGGGTCAGCCGTGTCTTCTGGAGTGACAAAGAATTTGTGAAGGTTAAAATGTCCCTTAGCAGAATGGAAGTGAGAGATTTCACCCAAAGCCATCTCTGATTATCCACATGGGATGCATAGATTCTCCTGTGGTGGCTGATTCCAGACGCCGATTGTGATTACAATATGGATTCAGTCGTAGCCATGGGAAACAAGAAAACAGGAGTGTTCCTTAACTAGAGCATTTTAGGTTATGCAGGAAGATAGAGAAGCCACCACCTTGCTGTTAACGAGTAAAACTGCTCCTCTAACACGGCAGTGGCTGGTTTATCAAGGGATGAGATGTTTGCTCCTTTACAGTATTCCATTAATGGTTTGGATTAGCCCTGGGTGAGAGGAAGGCCTGCAGGAGTGTTAATGCTAATCAAGTCCCAGGAGAGCAAACATGCTTAAACATACTTCCATTATGAGAAATGCTTGTAAACCCGCTCCAAGACTGGCCCCAAAAGGGCTGACTGAGAAAATTTTGAATTAGGTGCAGCCACCCATGGTGAAGCTCTTAAATTACAACCAGTTTTCATTCTATTCTAAAAAAAGGTTGCCTTAGATGACATTTCTAATATTTCTTAGAGGTTGAAGGGGAACCAAGGTATGGAAAGAGAATAATTACAATTCAGGGAATGAATATAAGCCTCCCCCTCTTCTCTTCTCTTCTCTTCTCTCCTCTTCTCTTCTCTTCTCTCCTCTCCTCTCGTCTCCTCTCCTCTCCTCTCCTCTCCTCTCCTCTCCCCTTTCTCTCTTCTCTTCTCTTCTCTTCTCTTCTCTTCTCTTCTCTTCTCTTCTCTTCTNTTTGAAATTTGATGTCGATGAGATTTTATTAAAATAATTAACCCATGAATTAATATGTTATTGACAGGGAACTCCCGTTACAGAAAGGCGATGTTGTTTACATTTATAAGGAGGTGGATCAGAATTGGTACGAAGGCGAACACCATGGACGAGTGGGTATCTTCCCACAATGTTACATAGAGGTACTGTTCTGTTTATTCAGCTACCCAAGGTGTCAGGACTGGCTGGGCTGACACAAGATCAAAACTGTCGTATCTTCTTCAGATTTTTACATATGCCTTTTGCTTTTGTTTTATAGTTACTTAACCCAACAGAAAAAATCCAAACTAAAAAGACTTCACCACTGCAAATCTTGGAATACGGAAATGCAGTTGCCAAATTCAGTTTCACTGGAGATACCGCTGTGGAAATGTCCTTCAGGAAGGTAGAGAGAGCAGTCATTGTAAACCATTTTGAAACATTCCTTTCTCATGCAATCTACTGACATCAGTTCAGTTGCAAAGGACAGCAAATGGATGTTCTAAGCAGCGGATTGGAAATTTAAAATGTTAAAAAATATATTTTGCGCGGGGTTTTCTAAAAATGGAAGGTTTGGGGTTAGTTATCACCTAACATGAACTTTGTCCAGTGCAACAGGCGTATTTGTTTACATTTCTATAGCGTTAGTTTTGCATCTAAATGTCCAAAAATATGCAATTAGGGTTGATGCTAGAGATAGGCAAGAAATTAAAGGCCAGATATATATTTATTATATATGTAATAATTAGTCTGAATTATTTTGCCAAAATAGAAAATATATGCATGTCTATCTGTCTTTTTTTATTTTCTATCTTTGTGAACTATACATTGTACTGGAATCTCCGAATAGTTTAGTTTTGAATCAAAAAGCTAAGCCATTTTCTTAGGCATTGTAAATGCAAGCCAGATAATTTAAAAGAGTTTAATAGAAAGGAGACATCAAATCCATTTTAGGACATCAAATCCTTCAAGCAAACAGCATCCACGAAATACAGCCTTTATATGTAAGTACCATAAGCAAGTTCTGAACTTAAACCCATGTTTATTTCTTTTTTCTTTTTCCTACAGGGAGAAAGAATCACACTGATTCGACAGGTAGATGAGAACTGGTATGAAGGGAAAATCCTTGGCACCGTTCGCCAAGGCATCTTCCCTGGCTCTTATGTGGACGTAGTTAAGCAACCAGTGCTGAAAGATACATCAGGCTATGCCTACCGACCGCCAAATTGCAGCCTGACTTCTCCACAGGTACCTGTTTGTGCTTTGCAGAACATTGATGGTGTTGTTAGTCTATTTCCTAGGGCAGTGTTGACGAACCTATGGCACGTGTGCCAGAGGTGGCACTGGCACGCAGAGCCCTCTCTGTGGGCACGCATGCTGTCGCCCCAGCCCCAACTCTCCCTATGGCCCTCTCCTCACCAGCAGCCCCCCCCCGAGGAGAGTCGCCCCCGGGCATGGCCCACACAGAGCAGCACAGCCAAGAACATAGCAGTTGGGCAACAGGGACAACACTAAGCCCTCGCGCCCCATCGCACAGCTGATGCTGCATGGCACAGGCCGAGGGCGTGGCCGCCATGGTGCTGCAGGGCCGCCTGGGCAATCTGCTGTGGTGGGCCGTGGATGTGGTAGGTGGCCCTGCGGGCAAGCGGGGTGGGGGGTGGGGCAAGGGTGGTGTGGGCGGTTTTTGGGCACTCAGTGTCTAAAAGGTTCGCCATCACTATCCTAGGGCAGGATGCCCATCATTGGGTCAGCCGTGTCTTCTGGAGTGACAAAGAATTTATGAAGGTTAAAATGTCCCTTAGCAGAATGGAAGTGAGAGATTTCACCCAAAGCCATCTCTGATTATCCACATGGGATGCATAGATTCTCCTACGGTGACTGATTCCAGATGCCGATTGTGATTACAATATGGATTCAGTCGTAGCCATGGGAAACAAGAAAACAGGAATGTTCCTTAACTAGAGCATTTTAGGTTATGCAGGAAGATAGAGAAGCCACCACCTTGCTGTTAACGAGTAAAACTGCTCCTCTAACACGGCAGTGCCTGGTTTATCAAGGGATGAGATGTCTGCTTTTTTACAGTATTCCCCCATGAATGGTTTGGATTAGCCCTGGGTGAGAGGAAGGCCTGCAGGAGTGCTAATGCTAATCAAGTCCCAGGAGAGCAAACATGCTTAAACATACTTCCATTATGAGAAATGCTTGTAAACCCGCTTCAAGACTGGCCCAAAAAGGCCTAAGAAAATTTTGAATTAGGTGCAGCCACCCATGGTGAAGCTCTTAAATTACAACCAGTTTTCATTCTATTCTAAAAAAAGGTTGCCTTAGATGACATTTCTAATATTTCTTAGAGGTGGAAAGGGAACCAAGGTATGGAAAGAGAATAATTACAATTCAGGGAATGAATATAAGCCTCCCCTCTTCTCTTCTCTTCTCTTCTCTTCTCTTCTCTTCTCTCCTCTCCTCTCGTCTCCTCTCCTCTCCTCTCCTCTCCTCTCCTCTCCCCTTTCTCTCTTCTCTTCTCTTCTCTTCTCTTCTCTTCTCTTCTCTTCTCTTCTCTTCTCTTCTCTTCTCTCTCCCTCCCTCCCTCTGTGTGTGTGTGTGTGTGTGTGTGGCCACATTTGTGTGTGGTCTGCCTGGTTTTCTTTTCCAGAAATTGTCCGAAAACTTTAATTTCCCTCTTTTGGGTGTTTTCAGGGCTGGCTTCTGGTTATCCTGGAAGGGATCCCACTGTGGAAAAGTAACACCGTCTCAGGTGGTGGCTTTTCTGTGGAAAAGCCTTCCACAATAAAAAGGAAAGACTTCTTACACCTCTGACCTTTTCAATTTAACTCACTTAAGGTAGTAGTGTCTGAGCAGAAGGCAGCGAATTTAAGGCACGGCTTTGGCTTTTGTGATCAAAAGCTGCAGAAGAAAAGAGATTTCTTTTGACAAGATTGCCCTTTGGTAGCAGCCGTTTGGCTAGGTAGCAAAATAATTGTATTTATTTATTTACATACATTTATATTGCCCATATTACCACACTCCAAGCAGCATATGAAAAGTTGCATAAAAACAGACCATTCAATTAAGCATCTCCCCCAAAACACATAGAAGAAAGGAAATGGCAACAGGTTCAATAGCCTTGTTTCCATAGCCTTGGCAAATACTAGTGAGAAGGGGACAGGCAGGCAGGCACAGCCCCCCCCCCCGGGGGGGGGGAGGCATGTTCAGATAGGCTTAGAGCAGCAGGATGAATTTGCCAACATGTAGAATCATGGTATTAAACATGGGGAAATGGATGGGGACATTTTAAGACACAGGAATGTTCCCAGAAAGCTGGTAGCTAACATGTGGTATGTTGCACAATGAATGTCGAAGGAAACAAAACGGTAGAATCCAAGGGTTAGAAAGGCCCTTGGCTATTTTTTTAGTTCCCTTCGCCCCCTTCCCAGGACAGGAACCTTTTCCAACACCATCTCTGCGCAAGAGTAGCTTGCTCATTGCGGGGTTGAATACAAAGGCAAGCAACCGCTGTGAGAGTTAGCAAGGAAAAACTGAACTGCAAAGAAAATATGCAGGGACGAAGAGTGAATGCACCAAGAGGAAAAAAAAGAGGGCTTGGTTGAAGGGAGATCTTGAGGCAGAGAGCCCTGAGAAGTTTGAAGAGAAAAGGCAGGATGGAAGCAAGAATGGTTTGCAACATTGTAGGGAGTTATCAAGAAGTCTCGTGTTGTGTTTCCTTTTTGTTGCCTCCCGTCTTTTATTCACCCTCCATGGGCATGGGGGAGGTGGAGAGAAGAGGGCACACGGATCCCAATTTCGTGATGCAAATTACACCCCTTTTTATACCACAGGCACTAATGCTTAGTGCTTATCCTTTACCTGCATTGTAACTTGGCTTGCTCTGAAAGTGAAATGCTGGATGGAGATGCATGACGTACAACCCTCCCTCTTTCTCATTAGTTTTCTTATTTGTAGGAATTAATGCCTTGGAATTCCAGTGGCCCAGGAGGACTTTGTCCACGGGCCCCTCCGCAAATAACATTACAATTCACATCCTGTGGATTTTCAAAGGAGGGATGTTTAAATGTATTTTATCTTTAAATTACAAACATTAACTTAGATTCCATAAACTTGACTATGTGGAAGTAGCACTTTTACTTTGTTTTACCTGTGCTCACACACTGAAGGGCCCACTTAACGTTTGCTGATAGGTTATAGGTTGCAAGATGCTTTAAATTTGGGAGTCTGATAAAATTACAGGGATATACATGTTCAATCAATCAATCAATCAATCAGTCAATCAATCAAATGATCCACAGTACCAGCTGGGGTCACAGAGAATAGCAGACATCTTCCTCCTGCTAAGGGACCTCAAATGTTGTATTAAAGTGCCTCTCCTGTCATCCTCCCTCTCCCGCCTCCAGATCTGTTATTTCAATTAACTGTCTAAAGTTGGAAATCTATGTTGTGCTGTTTGTAAGATTTGAATCTATTAATGGTGCCGGTGCTAAAAATTTTCCCTTCTCATGTACTTTTAACAATTAAACAGCCTTCACTGAGGCCAGGACCCGAACTCACAGAATCGGAAAAGAACTATGTGGTAAGGTCACCCCAGAGTCCTGTCTGCAGCCTCATTTGCACATAGTTCCTCTCTGAGCCCTCCACAGTGGCCAGCACTACTGAGCTGAACAAGGGTTTGGGTGTGCGTTTGTCACCCGGTGCACAAGGGTTTCCATGTGTCCAGGTCTTTAGACTGTTTTTACAGCATAAATGCCAAAACACAAATGGCAGTAACAAACAAAAATGGGGAGAAAAATCAACTAGTTGTCCTTATAAGCCCTGCATTTGTAGAAGCCACAGCTGAGGTTTGAGTTTCTTTTCATTTGGTGGCTCAGTGAATGCAGAGTCTCTCCAAGTTGGCTACGAATAAAGAAAAAGCGCAATCTGAGATATATTGCATTGTTAGAAAAATTAAATTGCATGCCAGAGACAAAATTTCATACCCAGATCTGAATTGTTAAATGTGAGGTGCTTTCTGACTAATTGCAATCTCTTTTGCTGCTGTGTTATAAACTTTAAAAACTAAATACTCAATTTTTCTGTATCTTGCCTGTTTTTCTGTGCTTACAACCTGGATTTCTTCTACACATTCCTTCCCGGATTGTATTCTGGATCTACCACTCTTGTTGTCTGCTTGGACATGCTAAATGCTTCCTCTGGACTGTCCCATTTCGTCCTGACCTGCCCACACTTCCTGTTTTCTTCATTCCCACCCGGGATGGCAACTGGGCCCTATCACTATTATCCAGGAAGTTGTTTGCAATGAGATCTTAAACATTGCCGAAAAATCTGTTCATTACTGCAGCACTCTTTCTCAGCCTGTCTTTTGTCATAAGGGGCAGTTTAGTGACAATAAATCATCTTTCATCATTTCTCAGCAACCTCAAATCTTGCCATTAGAAACTGGCCTGGACCGGAATCACGCCACACGAGAAATGTAAGTTTGCCCGTGCTGTAGATTTGGTGGATTACGTTCCTTTTTTTTTTTTAAAGAATAAAGTTCCCGGTCAAGGGATTTGAGGTTATGTTCATTTTAAGATTGCAGTTTTGAGTAATATATTTAGCATCTTGCAGTTCTAGGAAAGTTTTAGAGGAAATTTTATCCGTTTTATCCCAGAAAAACATCCTGCACTTGATGATGTAGCCCAGCGGTTCTCAACCTATGGGTCGTGACCCCATTTGGGGTCAATCGACCATTTCACGGGGGTCGCCAAGCAAGGCTGTCCGCCATTTTTTTTGTCCGCCATTTTTTCCCCCTTTTCCAGCGGGTGCCTTACCTCCCTTGGGCTGGGTCAGCTGGTGGTCGGCCTGCTCCGTCTCTGCCGCTTGCCAGCTATGCCTCAGCCGGCGCAGGGGGCGGAACCACACATGCACGGCGCTCCTGGGCAGGGAAAGTCCTCGACCTACGACCGGTTGGGTAGTCCTCGACTTATGACCGGTTTAGTCCTCGACTTACGACCGGTTTAGTCCTCGACTTACGACCGGTTTAGTCCTCAACTTACGACCGGTTGGGGGGTCGCGGCATTAAAAAGGTTGAGAACCACTGATGTAGCCACTCATAGCTGCTGGCGATGAGTTTGCAGGATCCCCTCTTTTTTGTTGGAGAATCTTAAGACGACATGGAAAAACCACAATCTTGCTGTGAGAGTCACACTGGCAGACCACTATGAATTTTACATAGTCAATGTACATGTAAAAGTTAAAGACCGTTTAGAATAGTTTTTAGTATGTCTTGTGCCCTGTTATCTGTTTTGCTCTGTACCTGAAGAAGCATGGCTGGAAAAAGAAGTTCATGGTGGCCATCTTTTTTCCCCTCTATCATGAACCTTCAGGCTTACCTATCGAGCACTTTACAGCTACGCCCCGCAGAACGATGATGAGCTGGAGTTAAGAGATGGAGATGTCATAGATGTGATGGAAAAGTGTGATGATGGCTGGTTTGTTGGTAAGCAAACTTGCCAGCCTTTGGCTGTGCAGTCCAATCAATATCCAGGAGATATTAAGTGGGATATTAAAAACCACATTGCTGTCTTGGGGAACTACATCATTGTGACAAGAGAGTAAAAAGGGGATCTGCAGAGAGATATTTCAAGGTGAAAGTATGACCCTTACTACAGAATGGACGGGATTAAGTCTTTAGTTAAAATAATTTAAAACATCGTCAGGGACATTTTCTTCAATCTTGATACCTATTTGGCCTGTAGGGGGTCCACAGAGGGGAGGTCAAGAAAGTCAAGATGGTGACCACAACCCTGTGATCTAAGACTTGGCCGCCTTGATATATATTATTTCCTTCCCCTTGAGATAAGCATAGATTCTCAGGAAGTCAACACCCAGGTGGTCCTCAACTGACTACCATAAAGGAGCCTACCCATTGTGGATGGAAGTCTTGATAGCTGTTAAGCAAAGGCCCATGCGACTGTCTTGCCTCATGACACCCCCCCCCCATCCCTGCTCTTCCTGATGTGGTTATTAAATGAACATGGGCCTGGTTAAGCGAGCTCTCGGTTCTAGGCCAAGGACCCTTCCAGCCCTCGGGGTCTCCACAGGCATGGACTGCTTCACATCCCATCAGCCTCATACCCTCCCTCCTCCTCACCCCATGTCACCCATTGCACACTTGAGGTTCCTCAGAATTCAGGGAAGGAGGGCAAGTCGATCCATTTCTGGGCCATATGGTGCAATGGCCTGGAAGCAGCCATTTTATGGGTGGTTGCATGGAATTGGGGGTACTCTGAAAATGGCAGCCACTTCTGGGACTGTGCCCCACAGCCCGGGAATGGAACAGCCTGCCTTGCTTTCCTAATGTGAACTCTGGAGATCTTCAAAAGGTGAGGAAGAAGGTGTGGGACCTGGTGTGGTGGAAGCAGGTCCAAAGGCTGCGGGGACACAAGGGATGGGGCATGGGGGCGCTGTGGCATCCCTGTAGTCCAGGGGTCCTCAACCTTGGCAACTTTAAGACTTTGCTGGCTGAGGAATTCTGGGAGTTGAAGTCCACAAGTCTTAAAGTTGCCACGGTTGAGGACCCCTGCTGTAGTCGGTCTTGGGGATGAATGCCTTTGGGGGCACCGCAGCAGCCATAACTTATTGAACTAAGTCATAAGTAGATTTTGGGAGTTCACTGTAACTAAAGATTAGTTGCAACTAAAGTTAGTTGCATAACTTAGTTATATATTTTTTAATTTCTATTTTTTTTTATTTAAAAAAATTAAAATGGATGAAAGCGTGACCATTTGATTTGGCCCCAAAGCAAACTCATGAAATCATTAGATGTCAATTCAGTGAATCAAGATCACCGATGACAAACAAGCTCAGGCATTACCAAAATAACCTCCCCACTGATCCCACTGTGACCTGCCTTATCTGGATTTTCCCCCGCCTTTTATTCCCCAACAGGCACATCAAGGAGAACCCAACAGTTTGGGACTTTCCCAGGAAACTATGTGAAACTGCTCTCCTTCTAGAAGCAATGGGCAACCGCTTTGTTTCACCCCGGAGGAGGACCTGAGTGTGATCCTTTTTAAAACAATCCTTGGGAAAGAGAAGTTTTTGAACGGGAGTAGTCAAGACAATAGGAGCGTGCACACGGAACGTGGTGAAATGCTGGAGATAGGCTGCAAAGTTCCTGCTTCCTTTGAGCGTGTATGGAGGAGAGGAGACAGGATGATGAGCCGTTATACTCTGCTGTGTTTGTTTCTGTTTTTATTCAGCTACGGGAAAATAACAGAAGGAAACAAAACAGGGTTTCTGTTGGCAAAGGAAGAAAAGGAGGGAGATTGCCCGGAGCAGAGGGTGTAGACTGCTTAAACATCCTGCAGCTTTTGTTTGCTGTTTATAGGAAAGGCCAAGTTGTCACCATTCATGGAGCTCTTCTTCTCCCAAGGCCATAAACCCCAGAAGGAATTGTAGAGGTCTGACCACATTGTTCTAGTGGTTGACAGATTCCAGACCGTACGGCTAGAATAAAGGAAGATGGAATAGATGGCTCCACCATAGTCTATTTGGATTTATTCTGCAAAATATTCCTGAATGTGCCTTTCTAGAACTGATAATATAAGTAATTTCTGGCTGCATCTTTTTTTTTTTAAATAAAACTAGAAATTTGGTCAAACTTATACTGTGCACACTTGTTTGGAAGTAAACCCCATTGAATGGATTGACAGTTTCCCATTGCTGGACTTTATTTCCGTTTTTTTTTAATAGTCATTTTGATTGCGATTTGCATCACGATACACTAAAATAAACATTGCTTCTGCTGTGTGTTTTTTTTTATAGTCAATAGCAAGAGATTCACATTCAGCATACTTTCTTTCTCTTACGCATTAGTCTGCGGAACAGGCATGTTTAGTTTTCTTCATCCCGAGATCAGCCAAAAACATCAACTGAAGTGCTTTAATAACATGATTGTAGATATGTATATTCCCCTTTGTAAAAACATATAAGTCCTATATTGCAAATTGAAATATAAAAAGGAGTCTTTTAAAACGTTTTGAGGAGGACGCTTCCGTTTTATTTATTATCACACTGAATAAATTAGTGCTTGTGCTACAAAATGCTGTTTTTCATCAGAGTTAGCATCCTTGCTTCAATTGCACTAAAATTGGCTTAGTGTGCTAAGCAGCTTTGTGCTCAAAGTTTTTAGAACGCCATCCATTTCTAGCCTTGAAGCAGCTGGTTGAGGCTGAGATCACTTGGGGTGTTTGAGACCACTCAGCCTGGCTGCGGTGGGAAGGTTGTCAGTTCCCAAAATACATATAGATGGCATGGCTAATCACAAAACACCCCTTTACTATAAGGTGAACAAGAGCGTCAAGAGTTGCCAACCATCCTAGTAGGGTGCAAGGACATTGTTCTAGATCAAAATTCCTATTTATTTTATTTAGTAATATATTAAAAAAAAAAAAGAGGCGTAGTCTACCCTGTTTTAAGGGACATTTGAATATTTTTATTTTAGGATTGGCAGTCAAGTTACAGAACTGAATCATTTTATTTTGCAAATATTTTAACAGTATTGGTAAGCATGTAACTATCACGATAGCATTTTAATTATATTTATATTTCTGCAGACATAGTTCTAAGCAAGAAGTTATTGTCTGTTTGTTTTATTTTACAGAGGATTATTTACAGTTAACAAATGGAAATGTTGAAAGCATGTTTCTTTGTGTAAAATATTAAATAAATATTAACCCAACATGAAGTCAGTCGTTTTTCCTTAGATTTTTTTTTTTTTGAGAGAGATTGTCCCAACCTGATAAATATTTCTGAATGTGATTTGGAGGAACCAGCAAGAGTTTAAGTCTCTCTAAAGCAGTGTTTCTCAACCTTGACAATTTTAAGGCATGTGGACTTCAACTCCCAGAATTCCACAGCCAGCAATGCTGGCTGTGGAATTCTGGGAGTTGAAGTCCACATGCCTTAAAATTGTCAAGGTTGAGAAACACTGCTCTAAGAGCAGGGGTCTTTATGATTCGTGGACTTCAACTCCCAGAATTCCTCAGCCAGCATGCCTGGCTGAGGAATTCTGGGAGTTGAAGTCCACAAGTCATAAAAGGGCCAAGTTTGAAGACCCCTGCTCTAAAGCGTACTATGCTGAAGAGGCGAGCAGATTTGTGGGAAGAGAAAATTAAGAAACAAAACAGCCACATTTTTCTTCCGATCAATTATGCCTGCCTTGGGGATTTCCTACATTTTCCCAGGAAGAGTGCAAGAGATGCTGTGCAGTTGGGGTGAATGTGCAAGATTGGGGGTGCCTTTCTGGTATTCTGATGGTGGTGGGTTACTCCTATTATGTCCCAAAGGTCATATCCTGCTTCCCTGGGGCTGTGGCTGATGACTGTTGGATTTTTTCTGGTGTGAGGGATTGTTGATTCTAGGGATCTTTTTTTCCAATCCCAGCTTCCTGACTCCAGTCTTTCTGACAAGATTATCACATCTGCATTTTTGCAGATGTGGTTTCTGTTTGGGGCAGAGAGCCGGGGGGGTGGGGGAATTGGTTTCTGCCTTTAAAATCCTTTGGGGAAAAATATTCTGCCTTTTTAATATTTCCCAAAATATTTCTTTCTCTGGATTCTTCCCACAATAGATTCTATCCCATATCCCTAGAAACCTTTTTCAAAGGTTTATTTTTTTTATTAATAACCCAAAGTAGCAAGCTGGAGTAGGCCTCTTCCCACTGGAGTGAATGGAGCCATTTTCTCAGTTTTCTGAAACAGACTTTAGAAATAGGAACTGAATCTTACGAAGCAAATGAGAACTACTGTAAAAAGGTATCTGATTTATCTGTTGTTCCTAAGGATTCCAGAGAAATCTGGTTAATTAAGCACAAACTAATGGACTTTATAGAAATAAGAAACATAATCTATATTCAAACCATGGAGATAAATTATGTATTAAAATGATGGGAGGTAGAGATAACCGTATACAGTACTTGGCTGTAGATATGTGCCATCTAGTCAAGAGAAAATATGGGATGGGTAACAAAACTAGAGATCATTTGATCAAACTCATGGGATGTTAAGGAAAAAGAAGAATAAGCTGCTACCTTCAGATCTGTTTAAAGGCAGAACATTGAGAATATCTGCATAGGTGTCCCTTGGGTTATCACCTGTTTTTCAGCAACAAAACTTATTAGAATGAGGACTTAACAATTGTTCCTCGGAATTATGGTCAGTGACAACATCCCTGATATCAAGTGATTGTATCTGGGTGCTTGTGCTTTATGACTGTAACTTAGTGACAACAATTTCACTCTTTCTAGAGTCTCAACCCTTTTTTTTTCTATCGTAGTGACTAGAATTGAATGAACTATTCCAAGTGTGGCCTCACCAGTGCAAAGCGGTACTATCTTGAAGATGCAGATATAATCAAGCTAGAGAGAATATCTGTTTGTAGGGAATTCTAGTTCTGAAGTAACAAATTTATTACTAAGTAATAATTTAGCCCAGTACATTAAAATGACTTTTTACCATGTACTATGTATGCTATTTGGTCTGTCATTATTATTTGATTTAAACCCTGCGCATTCTATACTACTTAAAACTTTAAACTAAATGGCTAGAAGGCACCTACAGAAGTTATATCCCCCCCCTCACCCCATGCTTACCTTTTTGCCAGAATGCAGTACAAGTGATGAGAACCCTATCCATCTCACCATTAGAAGGATGCCAGATGAAACATCTTCTGGAAGGTGTGCAGACAGTAAGGGTTACTGAGGAAATAGGTTTGAGATGTCTAGCCTTCCAACCTGTAGGCTCAAATGTGATATTACAAAATATTTTCTCAAATGTGCTATTCAGTAATGGACCACTGCAGATTAAAATCCTATATGCCAGTGGTGGCGAACCTATGGCACGTGAGCCAGAGGCGGCACTCAGAGCCCTCTCTGTGGACACGCGCGCCATACCCTGGAGATGGCAACCGTCCCTCTTCAACCAGCTGCCCGCTAACTTGCCAAGGTCCCACGTGGCCAGATGCATCCCACCCCCTGGATCTCGCCCAACCCTGCCCGGCCCCCACAGGCATCCCTCCCTACAAGTAACACTGAGGTGACCACGCCTACCTTGGCCACACACACAGAGTCTGCCATGACCAACACAGCCATGCCCACCCAGTGGGCCATGCCCACCTGGCACCCGGCGATAAATAAGTGGTTTTTGGGTTGCAGTTTGGGCACTCGGTCTCTTAAAGGTTCGCCATCACTGCTATATGCCTTTCTGGAGTTAAATCAACGGTTAGACTTCCAAGACATCAGGCGACAGTGGAAAGGTTACATCAGACGATGAAAATCCTAAAACAGAAACCAATTATTTTACCTCCTTTGCACCGATTCCAGCAGTGCAGAAAGTTCCTAGGAAGATTCTCCAGTCTTGTTCTAAGAACTCTAAAAGGAAGAGTGGTTAAAGGAAGTGTTTACCTTGAAGAAGAGAAGGCAAAGGGTGGGACACAGTTATCAGTCTTCTGCTGGGATTTCACAAGGGAGAGGGTGAGAGATCCAAGCTTGAAATAAAGAGGAGTTTGCCGATTGTGCCTCTATTAGGCAAAGGACCAGCTTATCTCTTGAAGTTGTGGAAGTTCCATCACGACGTTTTCAAGGAAAGACTGGACATCCTCTTGTTCAGAACAGCATTCCTGCACTGGGCAGGGGGTTGGAATAGAACAGTGGTGCCCAACCAGGGACCAGTTTCATGGAAGACAATTTTTCCACTGACCGGGGGAGGATGGTTTTGGTTTTGCTCACCTGCTGCTCATCTCCAGCTGTGCGGCCTGGTTGCTAACAGTGGTTGGAGAGCTCTGGACTAGAAGAACGTCAAGGTTCCTTCCACCCCTAGGATTCAATAAGCCTTGGATGTTAAACAAGGATAAACTCGATAGAAATTACTGTCATTTTCCAATTTATTTTATAATTCATACTGTGCAGATTACTAGCATGGGTGTTGCTATTTGAGCTTTTATTGACATGATTTAATTTTGTAATTTAAAAACGACATAAGGTTTTCACATAGACCTAAATATTTGAACTCAATTTGAAAATGAGAGCTAGAACATATTAAAAGTGTTTAGATAATTCGTTTAGATTTACATTCTAATTATGTCATATACATTTTGTTTGTTCGGAATACTGTAACCATCCAAATACAAGCTTTACCTACATTTAATTCAGCCAGAATGGAAACATTACTATATAATATAAATATATTTATTTAAAATAGAATATATATTACATATTATTGGTAGCAATAAAAAGAATGTTATTTAACTGTTATTTCCTAGTCCAAGTGTTTGAATTTGTTTTTAGGTATCTGCCAATTGCAGTTTTTTAAACTGATTTTAAGCTAGCATTTTTCTATAGCCAGAGCTGTACTTAAAGACAATACATAACAAGAAATAACTTAATTATGTTTATTCTTCATTAGCTAAACTTACTTTGAATGATGCTCTAACACTTTCACAGGAACTCTGGAACGGGCAAAAAGATTGACATTAAATGAACAACTATTACATAGTCACCCTTACACAGACACACTTACAGACATTGTGAATGACTGCCCAAGCATGCACGTCTTTCACAAATGTGCCACAGAATGTGAAAAACACACAATGACAACGAGGTTTGATAAAGTCCTTTTAATGGAAAATGTAAAACCCCTTTCAACTTTTGATGTACAAAGCATGTTTAACACTTGCACTTTTAACAATTTAAAGCAAGCCAACATTTTAAAAAAATACGTTATTGAATGTATATATGTATATATTTACATAGCATATTAGGTTTTATATTTAGCTTTAAAAGTTCACATACATTTTACCAAAATGAGACAAATTTTAAATAAATTACACATTTTTGAAAATGTTTAATTGTACACTGAATAGCTTCAATAAAATACTGAAGTGTCTAGTATATATTTCATATATTTTTTATGATACAAAGTTTACAGTTATTTGGCAGTAATTTTCAGATCATGACATGACTGCTGTGCGGATTCAGCAATATCTCAAATTGCAGGCAATAGCTGGTGTTTGTATCCTACTCTCACAGTTAACTGTCTCAATGCAGTGAAAAATATCCAGGTTATTTTAAACAAACTGTACAAATCACATTTACATTTGATCAACAATAGAGCATAGAATTCTGTAGTTTTTTTTCCAAAAATAAATACATCTTAAACTTTTGACAGCTTGAAAAATTCATTTACACTATAATACATAACAGCTCAATGCTATTTAGAGTTTCCCATTTCAAAAAAAGCTCAAGTTAAATCAAAAACATTGAAAGGAGAGCCTTTTTCTGTTGCAGTGTCAGTAGCAAGTAAATATAAGAAACATATTTTCTTGGCACTGATGGTTCGTGCAGCTTATATTAGTGAAAACATTCTTTATCGTAAAGAAAAATACGATAGATCATTTTCTTCTGAGCCCAAAGAGGGAACCCATACATTTTAATTTTCTTCGATATCTTCAATTTCATGTTCATGAGATTTCAAAGCTCTTACCATTTCCTTAACTGCATGACATAATATATTTTTTATCTGTAAGAAAATCAAGGAAGAAATGAATGTTTGAAAAAAAGAACGTGAAAGAAAGAGACGGGCTGGTTCGTATAAATTCCTGAACTGCTTCTGTGTTCAAGGACAGAATAATATGTACAACCATCACTTCAGCTCTCTCTGTATAGACCAGGT